GAGAGAGAGAGAGAGAGAGAGAGAGAGAGAGAGAGAGAGAGAGAGAGAGAGAGAGAGCGGTGCGCCGTATTGCAGTGCGTCACGCACACCGTGTGTGTTGGACGTGGTCCTTAATCTTAATGCAGCAGCAGCGTTCAGGTGCAGCGGAGCACGTGCTTGCCGCGCCGGTCCTGCCGGTCAAGGGCGTGCTGAGGACACTGCATACGGCGTGTCATTGACGACGTTCAAGAACGAGTGTTTGTCGTTGCGCAAGTTGCGACTGTTGCGAGAGAGCGTTGGGAGAGCGGAGGGAGAAGGGAAGTGAAGCGCAGGAGGGGCGGGGGGCGGAATTCGTAGACGGCAAGGTCGGGGGCTGGGGCTGGTTGGCCAGGGCGGCCAGGGGGCACACTGGTGGCCGTGTAGTAGCCTTTTCGGTTTCACTTTTGCATTCCTGCAAGCGACACTCCGCGCCAACGTTGCGTTTTCCTGAAATCTGCAAGGCCGTGCCCTCCCGGTGGCATTGAGCGCCTCGTCACTCGGCCATTGTGGCTGATTGGCTCGTGTTGTGGGCCCGGCCCCGGCCCGGCCGGACGTGCATTGAGGCTTGCGAATGCGGTGCGACCTCACTCTGCGACTGGGACGAGACGGGCGCGGAGCGGGCGTCTGACTCGGAACTAGACGCGACAACTCGACCAATATTGCTAATTTTGTTGACATGGACGCGCGGGACTGACTGCGGGCGCAGGATTGAGATGAACTTCGTAGACATGTGCGTCAGACCACATCACCGTCACTGTCGAGGGCGCGACTTCCCTGCACAATCTGGGCGCCCCGTGCTTCTAGAAGTTCGTGAGATCAGATTTCCTTTTTCTTGGCTAAAAACGTGTTTGTATGAGGAGACGAGGAGACATTCTGAATCAAAACGTCTGCTTGCTTTTTCATTTTTAAAGGGAGGGGGGGGGGAATCTGTAGTTCTTAAGTTTTCAGTCCATCTTTTTCTGGGTATCTCGTTGAAAGAGGTGATCAATTTTGTCTTACATTGTCTCTACAGTAATAAGCGTCGCTATCGCTCAGCACAAAGAGACAACAACACTTGTGTTGTACACATCCTTTCCTTACCTTAGTTAATATTGGGCACTTATGCGACATGCAAGTCGTGTTGTGTGTGCTGGCGGGAAGCCATCGTGACATGTGGCGATAGTGGGTAATGCGCAAGTCGGTGGTGGCGCTCATCTCACCCTAAAAAAAAACTGTTCATGAATGAAGCAAATGTGCTATGTTATAGTCCGAGCAGAACATTGGACTGTTCCTATGCAAATGTTCTTGCGAAATCAATGGTCGTGAATACGCTTTCCTGGGTGCTCAGAGGAGGCTGGCCGTCGGGTGCTCCTGCACTCTCTGGCGACCTGGCTAGTCACAAGCGCGGACTCTGGCTGGCGCTGGCTCCATCCGCCGGGGTGCTGTGACGTGTGTGAGTGTGCGTGTGTGTATGCATGAGAAGAGCTGCGACTGTTCGCGGCCACCGATGGCGGTCTCTGCCTCTTCCTGCCTGGATGCGCACGCAGCATAGCCTGAACGGCGTGGTCCCAGGTCGTGCTGTGGGCCGTCCTGGGCGGCGCGGCCTGGACGCCCAGGAGGAGACTCAATTGGTTGCGAGGCCACCGTCGTGCACTGCAGAGTGCATGCACACCGCGACGGACACGCCAACCCCGGCCCCGTCCCACCCCTCTCTTGGTTCGGTTGGTTTAAGAATTTTAGAGGTCTTGAGAGTCAAGGATTGTTTTATTTGGATAGAAAACAGTGATCTTTTCCTGGCGGGCCAATGAGACCGATCGCAATTGCGAACAACTCTACAAAAAAAGAAAAAAAGAGTTTTTTTTTTGTTCCCTTTGAGTTTCCTCCCAATACCAAATTCCATGAAATCTTGATGGAAGTCGTGTATAAAACTATAGCACAGTATTCCTGCAAGGCCTCCTTGATGTGGCTAACAAATAAAGGAGTTGTAATGACCAATTGTAGGTGTTATTGCCGTGGTATTTTGTTCTCGCCAAAAGTGTCAAAATCCATGTCCCTAATACCTTAAAGGTTCTCAAACCCAATTTTTGAATAAGTAGTGTCTATCCACCCTGTCCCACGGTGCCCTTCTACCAGTAGTAGTTAGTTACATAACTTAGCGCTCAATCAGCAACCATGACGGTCCTGTAAAGGCATGCGTGGGTTGCTCCCCCGCGGCCTGTGAGTGTCGCAGTCGCATGCCTGTCGTGTAGCTTCCTATTGATTTTATTTCCGTCCGTTGGCGTCCGGATTGTTGTAGCTTCATTACTTTTATCGCCGTGCCCCCGCGCTCCTCCCGCCGCCAGGCTGGCCCGCCGGGCAGCGGCGCGGCGCGGGCGGCCCGCCCCCACGGCGCTGTCCTGCCGCAGCGGGCGCGCCTCAGGACAGCTTGCGCTGCGGCCGCCCGCGAGTGGTAGAGTCCTATAGGCTAGGAGGGGCGGGGTCACAATATCATGGCCTCCCATTAGGTTCAGGATCGCATGACATTATTACCCCGGGGTACAAATTTCATATGTGTCCCATATTTATGAATGTGATCCTGAACGGGCCTCAATATCTGTTCTCCTCCATACCATCTCTCGTGCACGTAGAGCGTCTTGAACGACCTCCTGTTTAGGGGTGGTACTCACGTGCGTACGCGTGAGCTCAACCTTACTCTCTCCTGCCAGCGTGGGGTGCGCGCTGTGGGAGCTCGCGCCGGCGAGGGGAGCCGGGTGGAGCGGGGCTGGGCGAGAGCCGGGCGGCTGCGGCAGTTATTGATTCAGTCAGTCTGTCCGCCGGCGGCTCGGCCCGGCCCGCGCCACCCCTGGGGCAGAAGCACCAGGCAGCTGCATGTCCTGAACCTGGACGTTGCACCTGCGCGCAGGTTCGCCTTCCTTTAGATCCCCCCTACCACCCCACATGACCCCACCCTGAGCCCCACCCACAATGGGGCGCTATCCGGAAGCCCTTTCACTTTCTCATCCCTGCCTCGCCTAATTGTGCTGATCATGATTTCTTCTCCTCGTACTTTTGTCCTCCCGACGCGGTGTCTCTCGATTGCCAGTGCACCAAGTGCGCCCCCCCCCCCCCTGCCTGTCGGACGCGACGCGCGCGCTCCCCTCCGCGTTTGTTGGTGTAGGTCAGGTCATTAGCTTCTTGGTTCTTGGGGGGAAAAGGAGAAGGGGAGGAGAGGGAGGGGGGTGAATTCGTCCCGTTTTATTTCGTTACATTCCCAGCGGTCTCCTTCCCTTTATTTAGAAGGACACTCCTCTGGATTTTTTCGCATTTCCCTGCAGACGCTGCCGCCGCCATCAGGCGTTACTAGTTATTAGTACAAATGTGTTTCGCACGGCTCCTTTGGCACGAATAAATTCTCTCAACGCCGCAGCCCGGAATAGGAAGATGAGAGAGAGGAGCTGTACTTTATCTGTGGGGGTTGGGGTGATTCTGTCCCCGACCCCTCCCCTCCACCTCCTTCGCCCTGAGGTCGTTGCCCCGGCCCCGCCGGCCCTCACTGCCGCGGGAGTTGGGGTAGGTCGGGGTTCGACGCTCGCCCCGTCGGTGTGTGCGTCGGTGCGCGTGTGTTGGTGTGTTGTGGTGCCCGGTCGTTCACCCCAGCCCGGCCGGGTTCGCCCGCCTCCCTTTCACCCGCCTTTCCCCTCCCTCCTTTGCCTCCCCCTCCCCCTCAGGCTGCTCGGCGTCCCTGTCGCACGCATTGCGCTGCTCCTACCCTCTCTCACTCTCTTTCTCTCGCTCTCTCCGTGTCCCTCTCGCTCCATCCCTCCCTCTCTCTCTCTCTTTCTCTCCCTCCTCTCCCCCTCCGCTCGCTCCCAGCACTTTCACTGAGCCCCGGCCGCCCCGCGGGGAGGTGCGGGCGGAGGGTGCGGTTGGGGGCGGCTCGCCCCCCCTCCTGCCTCACCGTCCCTTTACTTTCCCTGTTCCTGCTGCCGCCACCTTCCGCTCACCAATACATAACGAGGGCGAAAGGAAAGAAGAGGCGCGGCGAGCGCTTGAGTGATTTCCTTCATCAGGAAAGCGGCGCAATCGCCGAGGGGGATCGCTTCGCTAGGAGAAGCGCTAAGAGAAGCTTTTTGGGGCGCTTGCCGCTCGTTCGTCTTGCTGCGCCCGACCGACCGCCCCCGACCCCCGACCTGCCTCAAGCATCCTCGCCCGCCATGCCCCGCTCCGCCCGGCCAAGAGGGGGGAAGGGGGCATAACTCGACCAGGACGATTTGTAGGGAAGCTAGCAGCCCGAGCGTTGCCGCCGGGGAGGGACTCGGGGAGGGACTCGGGGAGGGACTCGGGGAGGACAGGGGAAGCAGGGAGGGGAAACCACGACCCCCGCAACACGGCTCAGGGCATTGCCCCTGCTGTTTTCGTTGTCCGGCGGGGTGCGGGAGGGGCGTGCCGGGGGCGTGCCGGGCGGGGGGTGGGCCTGAGGGGCGTTGGTCCGTGCCGAACACCGCGTGTTCAGCCGTAGTGAAGCGTATCCGCTGCTACAGTACTGTACTACTCAAGGCCGTACGACGGCGGGGAGGGCAGAATGGTCGGCAGGGCTTGCTCCGGAGCCGGGTAGTAGTACTTCCCGTAGTGCTCCCCCGAAAGCCCCGCGAGCCATAGCACCAACCCCGTCGCCCCGCCCGCTGCAGCGCTAGTGAGTGCACCACCCGGCTGCTCGCCCGGCCGGGTCATGAACCCCTCGCTCAACTCCGGCCAGACCAGACCCAGAACGGGCCGGGGGCCGGGACGGCTGGGACATTCAGCAACTGCAGTTCCGGTAGTTGGCGTCGAGATTGCTTTCAGAGTTTTCGCTTCGCGCGAGGAGCGGGACGGCGGAGCGGGCAAGCGCGCAGAGTGACTTGGCCAAGCCTGTTCAGAACGTGGCGTGGCGGTGCGTAGCGCGGGGTGTTCCTGCAGGCGGGGCGGGGCAGGGTGGAGTAGCTGGCCGGGGTGCAGGGAGGCAGAGATCGCTTGCAGGCCGTGGCGTGGCGTGCGGTGCTCAACTGCCGGGCGCGGCGATCGAAGAGCTCGCCCCGCGCCGGCCGGGCCGGTGCCGGGTCCCGGCGGGGTGGGGATAAGGAGACGCGGGGCGGCGGGGTTGCGCGGGTCCGGGTGCAGGCCGCCGGGGCGGGGCGGGGCGGGCGGCTGTGATGCTGCTCTGCTGCACGGCCGCCCAGTCGCGGACCGGGGTCAGGGACCTGAGTTGAGTTGGAATTTGCGTATATACAGGGGGGAAAAGCGAAAAGCAGGGAGCAGGGGCCACATTGATCAATTTTTTCTCGGGGCCCACCGTGAAACACCAAACACCCCGAGCCGGTAACAACGCCGAACTGAACGTACCGTATTGTACGCATGATTACAGGTACCATTGATATTCGATGATTCCTGGGCCGAAAATAATTGCCTACAGTTAATACCCTCGTACTCGAACTGCGCGCGCGCTTTCTTCCTCAAACATAACTGTGGTTGTGTGTAACGAGCTGCCCCTTTAGCACTTTTCGGGCCAGCAGTTCTGTCGCTTCCTGCTGTCCTTTGTCTGTGCTCCCCGCGCTCGGCGAGCTAATACAGCCTCGCCTCATATTGATCTGGCGCGGGGAAAGGGGTGGAGGGGGTAGGACAGACGGTTGTCGCGGGCCGCACACCGTCCTGCCGAGGTCTGCCTGGCCGGGCCGGCTCCACAACTTGTTGAGGTGAACACCAGTTGTGTCGAATGAGAAAAGAAATGGCTTTTTGGCCGGGCTTGGGGCGCCGCCGTGAACGTGAGGGGTGCCCCTACCACACCACGCCTGCCCGTCAGCTAGCTCGACGCGTTGGCCTGAGTCTGCTCGATGAGGTAGCTCACATTCAGTTCGTAGCTCGCTCATATTCCTGTTAGTTCAGTTGGGAGTGTGGCCATAGAGTGGTCATGCGACTTTGAATGTGCTAACCGCCATCGTACACCCAGAGAAGTGGAGAGCTCTAGCAACCATCGCGTGGCGCGTGGTTGTTACTTCAGGGACAACCGTAACAGGGCCACATACTTTACGGTATCCAAAATGCGCAACCACCATCGCTGTACTTTACTTTGTGTGCAAGTAACCTAATTTTTTGCCCCGTTTGATGTTCCAGATTGAGGCCGTGAAGCCATGGCGCGGGCTTAACGCGGGGTCCCCCGAGGCGACCCTGAGCGACAGCGACCAGCTCATGGCGCACATCGCCGTGGGGAGCTCGGAGAGCCCCCGGCAGAGTCCGTCGCAGAGCCCGCCACAGAGTCCGTCGCAGAGCCCGCCCCAGAGCCCGCCGCAGAGCCCTCGACAGAGCCCCAGCGCCCTCCGGCAGGTGAGTCACGGCCCCAAGGTCACGAAGGGGAGGCCGAGGGGCGGCAGCCCCCGCCCCCTTTCTTCCCCCGCGCATTCTTTTGCTTCCTCGCGATGCTATTTTTTCTGCGGCTGCTCCGCTGCTGGCGCCCCCGGGGGCGAGCAGGAAACAGAAACAGTCGGAGCGGAGGGAGGGCCTAACGACGAACGGGCGCGCAAGTTCGGCGTGGGGCAGGTCAGCGCGAACCGCTGCACCGGCGCCCAGCCCCGGGAGGGGGAGGCGGGCGGGGCGCGGTGGGGATCCACCCCGGGGACCCGGGCCGGGGGAGCGTCGCGCACACCCGCCTGCGCTTATCTTTGCTGGAGGTGCAGCCTCGAACCCCTACTGCTGTGACCTTTACCCGCGGGAACAGCCATGACCCGCTGCATTATTCGGCATTATTGCAACGTTACGACAATAAGCGCCCTTTGAAAGACTCGTTGCATTTTTTAAAACTTGTCTACCCCTCACCCTGGACTCAGTCACGAAGTGTTTGAGCCCAAAACGTCGTAGCCGTTGCTGCTGCGCAGCTAAAGTCGATGCCGGGGAATGTTTATCTTTATTGCGGCATCGTGCCCTGAACGGAAAAACAACCGTTGTTGCAGCCGCGCGCGCGCTCTAGTTTGCATCGTCATTTTGGCACATTTGTGTCCTGAGGTGTGGATGTGCAGTAATATGGATTGCAATGCAATGGCGGCCTGGCTGATAAGATAAACGTGTCGAGCTGTGGTGGGTTGCATAAGCACTCCTGTGTGTCACGCTCGCGAGCCGCGTGACCGTCGCCCTGGTGCTTAACTCAGGGTCGTTTCTTTCTAGTATACGTACACGTATACGGGACGAAGTTTTCACGATTTTGAATGCCGCCTTCTAGTAATTTACGACGGCTGCACCCAAAAAAGCGTGTTCTTGAATGAAGTAGATGTGCTCGGCTAAACCGAGAACATTTGCTTGTCTCAATACAAATTGCATTTGTACAAATAAATATTGCATTGGCCTGATGCAAATTATCTTTCGAAATCAAGGGTCAAGAAAATGCTGTTCTGGGTGGGAATGTTTCTTTTCTTTGGAGTACAATTTGGGTTTCTCGTCGTGACCGCTCCTGTGAAGTGAACATTCATCCTCGCACCCCTTCGCATTCGCATTCCCAGCCACGCATGAGATGAGAATGAGAATGTTCCCTTCGATGTTTGTGTGTTCGGGTTCGGCCAATTATTTTCCTGTCGAACCTTCTTTCCAATTCTAAATGTCAAGGTGATGCGCTCGACGTCTCAAGGTGTTTCCTCATTCCAATAAGTGGCTGGCCTGCACTCAAGACAAAAAGGGGAAGGGGGATTTTCCTGCCGCTCCACTAGATAAATCGAGTCGTTAGAAAGCGAAGTCAGGCGGCGGCGCTGCGCTAGATAGCGCTCCGCGCTCCCGGCCGATAAGCTATAAGCTGCCTGCGCCGAATAAGCCAGTGTATTCCGCCGAACAAGGGGAGAGCGCCAGGGAGAGCGGCGGCGGCGAGGAGAGGCCCTCCCCATGGAAAAGCGCGCACAAAGCCATGATGTTTCCAGAGGGCTGCGGGCGGGGGGTGAGAAGAGGGGGTTGGGAGAGGGGCAGGGGAGGGGGCGTCCAAGGACCTCGGGCCCCGGCGCAGCCAATCCGCAGCAGGGGGCGTGGCCAATAGGGCGGTGGGGTCGCGGGGGAGCCGGGGCCGGGGGTTGCTGGGGCGGAGCTGGGGGCCGGGGAGTAGGGCCCGCGGGTGCGGGCTGGGGGCGGCGAGGGTGGCCTGCTTGCAACTGCACTTCGTCCTTGGGAACGCAACGATATAACGTCTTACTCCCCCCTCCCCCTCCCCCTGCTGCACCGTCTCCTCGCCAACTTCACTCTGCAGAGACCGTGTTCAATTTCTCGGCGCCCCTCACTCTTCCTCTGCCCCTTATCGCTCCTCCCCACCTCCTGCTCTCTCTCTCTCTCTCTCTTACTCTCTCTACCCTCTCACCCCCTCTCTCGCTTCTCCCTTCTCCCTCGCGCGCACTAACCAGTCGCTTTTTCCCGCCATGAAACCCCCGGTTTTTATTCATCAGTATGTGGAAGTTTGCTGCGCGTTCCGCTCGAAACGAGGCCACGCTCCGAATGAAAAGGCGTGCGCGCGCGGCCCGCCCTCCTCTCCGCCCGCCCTCTTGGTGCTCATGGTCCTCATGGCCCCGGTGCGTCTTTGAGCAGCCTCGCCATGCCCGCCCCGGGTAGCCTGGGGAGCCTAGGGCCGCGCCCGCGGCTCCGCACGGCCATGGCGCAGAGGAAGCCCCGGGGCCCTGCAAGTGCTGCTCCCAGGAGCCTCTGGCGGGAGCTGCTGAGGACGCGGCGCTACTAGCCCCCGGCCCCCGCCCTCATAACCGTTCTGTCGATATCAGCTGCATCGTACGACATGCAGAGCGCCGCGCCCCGCCCCGCCCTGGAACTGGAATGGCCTCCCATTGCACCCCCCGGCCCGCCGGCCCCGACCGGAGCGTCCTTGCATTGCCGCCGCTGCAGCCGGTAACGGCCTGCGGGGCCTTGCCAGGCTCAGCGCGCGGGCGGGCCGGGCGGGCGTTGCGAAGGCAGTTTGCTGACCTATATGGCGACCATTTTTCGTTGCGCCCGTTTCGCGCTGTAATGACATACCCGCCGCCCGCTCCGCCCTGCCCTGCCACGCCACCATACCATGGCGCACGTGGATATAAATTGTACGATATTGATTCAATCCATAAAGTATCCCGGACGTTGACAAACGGTGTGCCCTTGCGGGTGTCGGGTGCCGGGTGCTGCTGGCCGCCGGGTACTCTACCCCCCGCGGAGTGCCGCCACGACCCCTGCTCCTCCCGCTCTCCGAGCGACCCCATGTCACTCGCATCTGCCTTTTCAGCAGCCGATAGTTGCTCGCTCTTACTCGCGCCGACAACTTACTTTTCCAAGGAGGAATGGAGTCGCCCTGCTGCATGTGCTCGAGTCTTGGTCGCCGCTCAGAGACGCGCCGCGCAGCGTCCTCCCTGGTGAGTTATGGAACGGCGGCGCCATTGTACGCGCAATAAAGCGAAGGACGAACTCGGCGGGCGGCGGGTGGAGGATGAAGGGGCGGGTAACGGCAACCCCCTTGGACGCGCCCCGGACCCGGGCACAGCCCACGCCACGCCACACGCCGCCTTGTCCTTCAAAAGTGGGTCAAACGTCCACCCCCAGACTCCCTGCTCGGCCCGGCCCGCCGCGCCCCGCCCTGACGGCCCTAGAGGTGCGTGTGCCCGTGTTGCGGTGCAGGGAAGGGTTGCCGACAGGGACGTACCCGCCGTGCCCTGCGAGGCTAGTACAGCCCTGGTTGGTGTTAGCCTGGGCCGGGGCGTGTTGCTCGCCTCGACCCCAATTGGGGTACGCCCCGCCCCGCCCTGCCGCGTCGCGCCCCGCCCGGTGCAACCACCCCCGCTCTGCCCTGCACCGCGCCCACCTTGCCCCTTTTTCCCATTTCCATTCTCATCTCGAGGTCGTAAGGACGGGCGCGGCCAGGGCGGGTATCGTGTTCCCTGGAAAATAATTTGAAGCAACGGGCAACTTTCGCGTCTTCCTGTTTATACTCTCACATCGCCCCATGCCCCCCATGCTTCGCTACCCCAACGCGTCCCCTGGTACTGTAAAACTTACCCCTAGATGTGGGGGGCGAGCGGGGGCAGGGGGGAGGGGAAACAGGTCACTGGTGCATAGCTGGGCGGGGGAGTTGAGTGTGGGGCCGGAGTGGGGGGCAAGGATTCTGACTGGTGAGTGGGGGTCGTAAGGCCGGGGGGCGAGAGGGATGAGAGGTAGGGGGAGGAGATACCCGAGTATCGATCGAGCCGGAAGAGCAAAGAGGAGCGAGTAACGCGCTGGGTTCGCGGGGCCGGGCCGCGCGGGGCTAGAGAGATTCAGAGGGGTCAGGCGGAGGGAGAGGACAGGGAGAAGGAGGGGCAGTTTGCCGTCAATCTGACTGGAAATTCTTCTGTCCTCTTTCTGCGGACAGATAGCCTCACCCCCTCCCCCGGGCCGCCTTGGTGACCTGGTTGCTCCCGCCCTCTATTACCGCACCACACCCCGACCCCCTTCCACCACACCCACATCGAGTGTCTCGTCTTGCATCTAGATTTTGTCGCCCCGCCTCGCCCTCGCCTCAACGCGTTGCGGCGACCTGGTGACCTGCTCAGCAAGACCCAAAGGACCCGGTCTTCCCTACCCAGCCCCCAGCGTGACCTACATCTGCTCACATTTGTTTTTGTTTCGCACGCGGAAGGGGTTGTTTGGAGTCGAGCTGAGTCCATCTGAGTTCCGCGCGCGCGGCGGCGCCGGGGCGTCGAATGGGTTGCCTACCTCTCGGGCGGCCCGTGAGCCGAGCGCGGCCGACGGGTGCGGTGCGGGGCCCGGCGCGCTGTCTCCCACCACTCGCACCTGAGCTGTGGGCGGCCGGACAGGTGTCGCGAGGACAACCCCGCGACGGCACCCCTCCCCTCTCTCGGCTCCCCCCGCGTTTATGTTCCCCACGGCCCGGTCCTGCCGAAAATCGGCCCTGCGGACCCTGTCAACAAGTTCACGTCGAACCCCAGTCGGGCCCCGAGGACACTGTCGCGAACGCGAGGCTGCTCTCCTTGTGGTCTGGCGGGGTGCCTTTCTCAGTCTCGCCCGTCACCGCTGCCACGCCAGCCACGCCCCTCTGCTCCGAGCCCGCCACGCCCCTTCTTCTGTAAGGCAGCTCGCTTTGTATAGGCGGCGTGGCGGGCTGCGTCGTGGTGCGGGGCGCAACGGGACGGGGACGCGAGGACCGGAGAGCGGGCAACGCTACCCCTTTCTCCGCGCGGGCTCGGGTCCCTGGGGACGCGCTGCTCGGCGGTGCGGAGCATGGCTTTAACCCGACCCGTCGGGGATCGAGTTCTATTCTGAGGCGCCACGCCCCGCCCAAGCCCCTCCAAGCCCTGCCGGTTTGTTGCTTTAATACTTACGAGAGGCGCCGGGTCCCGGCCCGGACGAGGTACCTAAAGGCGCAGCTTCGGCTCGCGGAAGGAGAGCCGGGCTTCGCGAGGACCTGCTCGCATTAGCGAGGCCGCGCGCGTCACGAGTCCCGGGGGAGCTTGCGAACAGGTGTGTGGGCTTGCGCTGGTCTGGGCCGGCGGCGGGGGGGCAGCGCAGCGAGGTGCCACTCATTAGCCGCCGCTATCGATTCCCCTCGCCGGTCGGAGCTTTGACGTAGACGTGTGCCGTGGCAGCCCGCGAACCCGCTTCAGAGGCCTTGACCCCCCACAATGTAAAGCCGCCTGGCTGTGCATGGTCGCGAGCGGCTGTGCTGACGGCCTGCTTCTCTCTTCACCTCCCTCCCACTTCCTCCACCCCCCTTCCCCCCTCGCCTTGGCAGGCCCAGTTTCCTCGCGGCCTCGGCGGTGCAGCGACGCCCACGCTAAAATTATGCGGGGGAATTATTGCCAGCGCACGCTGTGCGGGTGGGGTGCGGCGGGGTGTGGTGTGGCGGGGTCGTGGTGATGCACGGCGGGGTAGCTTGAGGTAAAGGCGCCAACGGCGCTGGCCGCGGGTGCATCTCGGCGGCGGCTGATGTGGGGAGGGTGCGCCGGGGTTGGTTTCCCTCGCTGTCTGACCGACGCCGACGCGCCCGCCCCCCGTCCGACCGGGTCGGGTCGGGCCCCATCACCGTCAGCCAGCCGACTTTTCCTCGAGCGCGACGAGCGACATGCAGGCCGAGCCGCTGCGCCGCGGTCGCGTGACCGGATCGGGTCGCGCTATTTCGAGGGCCCGGGCGGGAATATAAAGGTCAGGGAAGTGGCCCGTCTCGTCGTTTTGGCGCTGCGGGGGTGGCGGCCGCCCGGCGCGACGACAACCCCGCGGCGAAAGGGAGATCCCGGCTCAAAGGTCTCCTCCTCCGATAAGGCTATGACATTGGACTAACCTTGCTCCATATTTGCCGACGCGCCCCCTGCTTCCCCCGCAGCCCCGCGCCCCGCCACCTTGTTGGCGTGTTAGTGCTGCCCTGCTGCCGCGGAGATATACGAAGATTGGCAGGCTGATCCAATCCAATCAAATCCTCTTCACCAGCCCACCTCCTTGGCATGCACCGCGAGCGTGGCCGCCGGCTGTCGTGGAGGAGGTAACGGCCGCGGCCCTGTTTGGGTCCGAAAGCTTTGCTTTTGTTGCCGGGGGGGGGGGGAGATGCATGCAAGCACAGTCGGCTGCCACGTGACTCGTGTGAGCCTGCACGGCGACAGCGCGATTAGACATTGAATCTTTTTTTTCTTTTTTTTCACCTGCCGCTGATCCTGGTCTAGGTGCAGAGGTGCAGTGCGCGGCTAAATGAGACCTTGAGAGCGACCGACCTGTCCCGCTGCGGCTGATAAGATAGTGGCCGCTGCACATATTGCAGTTGCACGTCCTGGGGAAGGGGAAGTCGGGTGGCGGAGGTGGAAGGGGGGGAGGGGCATGTCTGCCGCGCCTCGCAACACGGCGGCGCACTCGACGAGTGCGCACTCGACGACATTGTGTGAAGGGAAAAACACCGGCCAAAGCCGGTAGATTCGGTACAGTTCTGGCATTATGGCTTAATATAGCTTGATTTGCGCACGACGCGCTCTTATGAAGGGCCCCGGCGGCCATCGTGGAGCCCGGCCCCGCCCCGGCCCTGGCCGTCGCGTCGGCCGAAGGCCCGCCCAACTGCGTCGGCCCGTCGGCCGGGGTCGGTCCCCATTGGGTCCCCATCGGGCCCCCATTGGACGCGTCGACGCCAAGGCCGTTCCGTTCCCCCCACCCGCCGGCCTACCCTCGCCCCTTCTCACGCAGCGCCGCGCCCGCCGCGCCGCCCCGCGGGTGCGAGGGTGCGGCCGGGTGCGCGGGGGGCGGCCCGCCGGCCCGGCCTCTGGGCCCGGCCCCGGCCGCCATGGGGGGTTGTGCTCCGATGGCAACCTGACCAGCCGGCCGGCAGTTTTTCCTCTTTCGCTTGCCGCCCCTTCCTTCGCTGCCCCCTATTCTCCCCCCTCGTGCGTCTTCGGCGTGGTGTGTGCGGCCGTCCTGCTGCCGTCACGAGGCGCGAGCGCCTGTCGCGTCCCCGCGGTGCCCCCGCGCGGTGTCCCACCTGCCTGGGCCGCTATCGCGACGTGATCTGGCGGCGCGACCTCGAACTAGCGTCGCGCGACGCGATGGCATTGCGATGCACCGCGGCGCGGCCGACACCGGCGGCACGGCCAGGGACGCGCCAGGACGCGATGCGCCAGGCCCGGACTCGCCGACAGGTGTCGGCCGCGCCGTTGCACTGCACTAATGCGGATTTGTTCCAAAGTCTCACGGCCGCGTGCGAAAGAGTTAGAGAGTGACATAGCGACACCCGCCAGCCCCCTGGTTAGACGTCTCTACCTCCCCGGGCATCTGGCTGTCCTCCTCGCGATTTGGGTGCAGCCTGGCCACGGTGCACTCGGCGAGCGAGGCCGAATGCCGCGGCAGACTCGTCTTTATTTATTTTTTCTGCGCGCAAACACATATGCGAGTGGCCGGGGTAGCGGGGCGGGGCCGGCGGGGCGGGCGAGAGCCAGGTGTCCGCCGGGCCGCGCGGCGTAGCGGGGCCGTGCAGGGCTCGCTGTCATGACCAGACCAGATCCATACTGTGTTTAGAGTGGGGAAGGTCATGCCTCGTAGATAACACTCACACACACACACACACACACACACACACAGACACGGAGCTGTGTACATGCGATGCAGTTTGGGCCTTGCGCGCCGGCCGCCGCGCCGGGCCTAGCCTAGACTCACTGACGGCCCAGCGTTGCACTACGAACGAGCGTAGTGCCGTACCGGCGCGCGTCCCTGACAGTCACCGTTCTCGGTCTCCCGCACGTACGTCTCCTTCCCGCGCCGACCGGCCCGGGCCCGCTCGTTGGCAGAATGCTCACCCTGGGGTGGCGACCCCCGCCCCCGCGACCCCCACACGAAGCCCCGCGCCGCCGCCACCACCTCAGTATCAGCGCGAGCGGCGCGAGCGCTGGGGATGGCTTAATGACCTGTTGCCAGGCGGTGCGCCAGGTAACGCGCCCGGGGACCGACGTTTTCTGTAGTCTAGTGCCTAATGTTTGTTGTGTCAAGTTGATAACCTGCTCTTTTCTGTTGTTCTTGCAGGACGCTGGCATGGATGAAGGCGGCGGCGGGCGCGCGGGTACCCCCGACTGGGATCCGGCGACCCTGCGCGAGGAGGACTTTGAGGAGCAGGTCGTGTACCACGTGCCGGACCAGCCCTGCGACGCGCAGCCCTGCGACGGGCCAGCCGCCCTCCCCCGGGCGCAGGCCTCCCTGCCCAGGAACCTCGTCCTAAAGCCGTCGCAGGCGCTAAGCGACGTGAGTAGAGCGCCAGCTCCGCGCCCCCGCGGACCCCGCACCCCACACCCGCAAGAGCGCGGCGATGACTCACACTGCCCGATTGATGTTACAGGTGCTCGGAGTTTGGAGTACGGGATACATTCCGAGAGGAACCCGATTCGGGCCTCTTGTAGGAGACATTTATGCCAAAGATGCTGTACCGGCGACAGCGAACAGAAAATACTTTTGGAGGGTAAGTGTCCATGGTGTTTTGTGTTTTGTTCCTACTTTCTAACTGTCCCGAGGATGATATTCGGCGATGCTACGTAGGAGGACTACGCGCGATTGGTGGTGGGCTCCGAAATATCATATGTAGTTGGACGCAACTATCGTATGTGTACAAGTATGCGACTTTAGAGGAGGGTGGATTTGTGGCTTCGTTTAACCCCTACCCCAAAACTCTAAAGTTTTATGGAACGTGTTTTTGCAAACGAATAGTGATGTAACATGCGCGAAATTAGACTTACCTTCCAATGTCAATCGGTGACTGGTTCGGCTCCTCTTCTAAACCTATTTCTGTTTTCTTCTCTTTATTTCATGTCATCTAATAAAACAACCACAATCACAGGTGCAAATCAAAGAAGAGCCCAGGAACTGGCGAATCCGCAAGGTATGGACATGAAACTCGCTTTTCCATGTTCATCATTCTCTTTGATAGGGAAGGTGCATATTCATTCGTGTAACACCTCGGGAAAGGTGCATGTTGTTGGGGCCTGTGGTGGACAAACCCGGCTGCCTAACACCTTAATGATGAAGGGACATCGCGATCAAGATATGCTGGAAAACGCGACCTGGCCTTCGTCGTTAAGGTGCAAAGGGTTCGCCTCGAAGGAAATTTGAATCCACATCTGTGGTTTCGCAACCCCTTCGATCACAATGGGTCTCGGTTTGCGTGGGCTTCCTCCTTTTCTTCTACCCCTAGCCTACCAGTGCTTTAGACACATCACAGCAGTTCTTCGCATTTCTTTGTAGCGACTGGAAGGGGCATGCGAGTACATCCATGGTCACTCCCCCGTCTCATTGCCCCCTTTCCCCACGATTTTCCACTCCCGTCTGAGCCTCTCTGGGACGAATGGTGCCGCATTTAACCCACTGACTGCTGCGTCTGCTTTTCTGTCTGCACTCTTCCTCCTTCCTCCCTTGTGCGAACGAGTAGAACACAATGACTAAACTACACGGAACGTTGCGTCTTTGAGCTTGAAACTGCAAACATAATCGTGCTTGTTATGACTTTACATAGCATGAGATTTGGTGATTGGGTAACGCCTTGTCCGAAAAGCTACCCTTTCAAGGTAATTTTACCTGTTGTTGCTTCTGTCATGTTATTGGATGATGCAAAACACGAAATATAAAGTTTGGTCATCTCTCTTTATTTTTTGGCTGACCAGGATTTTGGTGAACTCTCATTTGTTTGACATAGTACAGTCTAAACAGTTCTACATGTTTGGAAGAGCTAATACTTAGCAGAACTATATGTAATTTAAAGACAATGATTAGCGATAATGTGTAATGGTGGCAATAAATGCTTGGAAAGGAGGCAGGGTCTGTAATATACGGTACAGCAAGTGCTATAGGTACTTGACTTTTAGATAGAGTCAATTCATATCTTTGATGATCATCTTCAACACTTCTTCTGTTTTTTTAGTACGTGGAAACTCATTAATTTGGTGCTAGAAAATTTTCTTGTCTTCACCCAATTTTTCATGGAGAAGTTCATCTATATTTAGATGATGCCCCCAAACCACCAAGATTTCTTTTTAATTCCTATTTTACTTGGAATATGAAATGCTGAACATTATCACACAAATAAGCGGTCATGTGTCAAAAGAGTTGGCATCGTTTTGAAAAGTCTAACTCTTCTGGGGTTTGTATTTTTACAGATATACAAGGAGGATGAGCTGTTTTACTACATCGATGGGTACGACGTCAACAAGTCCAACTGGATGCGGTTTGTCAACCCAGCCTATTCCTCTGCCTCACAGAACCTGATAGCCTGTCAGTACAAGGTAAGATTTCACCCCCTTCCTCCCACCCCGATTATTAGTTCTACCGCACTGTTTGTCTAGTTATGTTAATTTTTTTTGCCCTATTCGCATCTCCGCAGATGAATATTTACTTCTATACCATCCGGCCGATCCTGCCGAACCAGGAGCTGCTCGTGTGGTACTGCCGCGAGTTCGCTCAGCGGTTGAACTACCCTTTGACGGGAGAGCTGATGCTGCAGAGGATACGGGAGCAGGTCCAGCAAACGACGGCCACGCCCTCGCCACCCGCCCCTGCCTTGCCAGCGACGACGTGCAGCGCCCCGGCCGCCCCCGTCCCGGTCCCCACCGAGGTGGGTGCCGTGTCCACGACCACGCACACGTCGTCCTCGGCGGCCAGCAGCGCGAGTCCGCAGTCGGTGGCGTCCTCCCCGTCGACGGCGGGCGAGGCTTCCCCGCACAAGGAGCGCGACGCGCACGCGGACCGGGGCTACGACGCGGCGCAGCAGGAGGGCTCGGTGCGTTCGGACGAGGGCTACCACTCTAACGGCTACCACGATGAGGTGCTGACTCCCCCCGAGGACTCGAGTGACTCCGACTCGGAAAACAACTATGTCCTGGACTTCAGCAAAAAGCATGAGCGGACGCACGACAGGGCGCACCACCATGCCAAACCAGAGTCATCTGTACGTGGGCCGCGAGGCATGCTCGGCCAGGAGCCACGAAGCAACGAGTTCAGGAAGGTCAAGATCAAGATGACCAAGGCGTACCACTACAAGGCGAGGGAGGGCGACAGCGGCAGTGACCGGGACGCGCAAGAGTCGCCCCGCCCCCTCGGCAGTGCGCTCGCTCACTCGCCTTCGGCCAGCCCAGGTCCCCGGCCCGAGTCGCCGATGGTGGTTGAGGAGCACCCCGTCAAAGCTCATTCGCCACAGCGCTCGTGCTCGCCGGCCACCTCTACCACCTCGCCGTCCAAGCCTCACTACGAAGACGACGTGTCCGTGCCGCGGCAGTCGTCGTCGATCCTGGAAAACATTCTGTTGCGGAGTCGAGAGCGCGACAGAGAGCGCGAGCAACGGGGCCAGCGAGAGAAGGACAGAGAGGCGTCGGCCGGCGACCAGAACAACAACAAGGAGCTTCCGAGGCACGCGACGCCGCCGCCCGTCTCCTCGTCACCCACCGAGATGGCCTACTCGTACAAGAAGTCGCACCGCTATGGGACGGTGCCGTGCAGCCCGGACTCGTCGTCGTCGGCGTCTCCAGCCTCGCTGCCGCCCCTGATGCCGCTGCCCCCGCTGATGCAGGTGCACGCGCTGCACGCCCTCAGGAGGTCGCCGCACACTCCCCCGCTCTCCCCGTCCGCCGTGCCGTCCTACTCGGACCTGAGGTCGGACTTGAGGTCGGACCTGAGGTCGGAGATGGCCTACCCGTCGCAGAGCTCGCAGGGCCCCCACAGCCCGGCACACAGCCCGTCGCACAGTCCGGCGCACAGCCAAGGGCAGGGGCCGTACTCGCCGCCCTACCACTACCTGCCCTACGGCACGTCCCCTCACCCGGGGCTGCCCCCGCACCCCCAGCTGACCAACCTCAGGCCGCCCTCCCCGGCCGGCTCACTTTCGCCCGACGACGGCTCATGCACCAGGTAAGTCTCATTTGCTCTTGCTCTCAATCTGTCCCCACACCGCCTCCCGGCACCCCCGGTTCGGCCCATGGGTATTTCCCCTTCTTATCACTGCAGGCGCGCTCCCCGAAAATTAGGATTCGTTTGCCGTAGTTGCCAGTTCTATCCTCTTAGGGGGGCGTTTTGTTCCCCCGTGTGGCAGTAAAATAGCTAGCGCGAACCTGATTTTCGGTGGAGCTGGAAACTCTCCACTTACAAGACAACCTCTGTCTTGCAGGTCGGGATCGCCACTTAGTCCCAATAGCCACAACTCACGCGGTTTCAGATCGCTGCCCTACCCACTAAAGAAGAAGGACGGCAAGATGCACTACGAATGCAACGTGTGCTTCAAGACCTTCGGCCAGCTGTCCAACCTCAAGGTGCACCTCAGGACTCACTCTGGGGAGCGGCCGTTCCAGTGCAACGTCTGCACCAAGAGTTTCACCCAGCTCGCCCACCTGCAGAAACACCATCTTGTGCACACAGGTGAGTGCCAAAAGTTATATTTGGGAATAATTTTCTCACTTGAGATAAAATGCATGGTCTTACATTTTATCATAAAAATAATGTAAAATTTGTCTCTTTTTTGTAGGGGAGAAACCACATCAGTGCGATATCTGCAACAAACGTTTCAGCTCAACCTCAAATCTTAAAACCCACCTGAGATTACACTCGGGTCAGAAACCTTACGCCTGTGATCTGTGCCCCGCCAAATTTACCCAGTTTGTCCATCTCAAGCTGCACAAAAGACTGCACACCAATGAGCGGCCGTATACCTGTCAGGGCTGCAACAAGAAATACATCAGCGCTTCAGGCCTTCGGTAAGTCAAGATCAGATACTTTGGATACTCAGGCCTTCTAACGCTGCTCCGATTCTTAGAATAACCACTCTTTCCTTCTTTCCGAACGCAGGACTCACTGGAAGACGACGAGCTGCAGACCTCACAATATGGAGGAGGAGCTGGCACTCGCAGCCGCCGCGGGCTCACCGCCCGGCTACTACGAGTACGCAAGCTCCGACGCGAGTGTGGGTAAGTTTGAGGGCGGCTTTCAGGAGTTAGGTGTTCGAAACTAACTGACGCCAGTGTGTGTATGTAACGCCCACCTCTTTCCTGACATCTTTCAGGGAGCGTCGAGAAGGAGACCCTGGACGTGGACTCGAGGGACTCGTTTGAGGCGCAGCACATCTCTATGCTGCCGCAGCTGCCGCAGCTGCCGCCGCAGCAGCACCAGTCGCCGTCCTCCTCCCAGCCACCGCTGCCACCCCCGCAGCACCACCAGCCTCCCCAGCACCCGCATCCTCCCCCGCCACACCACCCCCATCACCTCCCCTCCCACCACCAGCTGATGCAACTCCACCAGAGCCATCAGCCTCCTCATCCGCCGCACCACCCGCACCACCCTGCGCTGCAGCAGCAGCAGCAGCAGCACCTGAGTGCGCCGCCGCCTGGTCCGCCGTCTCACCAGGGTCATCAGGTGCACCTTAGCCACCAGGGCCACCAGGCCCATGGTACCCATCACCACCTGCCCCAAGTGGTACCCCAGCACCTACCAGGCAGCCATGTGTCTCCCTTGGCGACCCATGGCCTGAGTCATGGCCTGGGCCACAGCCACGGCCATCCTGCCCACAATGGACATAGCATGAACAGCTCAGATGCGCCCAGGCCGTCGGTTATAGAAAGCTCTCAGCCTCACATCATTGAGTGTACTTAATTTGTTACGTACAAAAATTATATATTGCCGCTTTGTTTTGTTTTTTCTTGTTCTTTTTCAAAATGAAGTTTGGCCCTGTTTTTTTTTAAAGTAGAGTATATTTAATGAAAAAAAAGAAGTGTGATATTGAGAGTGTGTTAGGGGCGGCCGGTGGCTGTAAAAGTTGTAAATTGTGCTAGTGACTGGACTGCTCCCTACACACGACAGTTTTAGTCATTATTCCTGTCCTATTTTTTGTGCTCTGTGTTGTTGATTTATTGTTGTTATGTTATTAATTAGATGAGAAAGACATTATTGCGTGCAATAAATTAATTTTCATCTGCGCCCAGGCTTCTGTGAAATATGTGCTGAAAATTAAATACTCAGTTGTAAGAGAATGCTCTTTTACAGTGGATCACATATTTGTGTTTCCATTATCTGATACCAATTTTTATCTCGGTTTTCCTCCTTTTTGCAAGTAGATCATGTATATAAATTCTGTCCTAAATCGTTCAAAAATTTTATGACCAGCTATTGGTCTCCTTTGTTCTCTGTCTCTGTACCATACTACCTTATTTTCATGACTGATGTTTCAATCGCCTATAGACAGAATCAACTTGGTATTAGGATGCTCATGTAAATTGCATAATTCTTTCTTCTCTACTCATTGTGTAGTTTGATTTCATTCATCCCACTTCATGCACATATGCTTGCAATGTATTGGTAATTAGGTCAAAATACATTGTTGCATTGCAGGATCTTACCCTATGCTGTATAAATGAAGTGTAATACTTTTAAGATTACATTAGACTGGCCTCCGCTACATTATTCATTCATGAAAATGTCATGATCTATTCATGTTGCTGTGTTATTTCCTTGTAATTAATGTAGGTTACTTCATCTACTTCTTAATTCTCTGCTTTGCTTTCTATTGTACGTGTATGTCATTTTTTAAGGCAGTGCATCAACATTCTTGTACCTAGTTGGTTTTCTTTTCATAAGAACTGTAAAGTAACTTTTTCTAGAAAAGACAAATTCATAACAATTCATTTTATTGAAACTTTCATAAATATATTTTTTTCATGAATTTTTGAGATCTATTTGGGATTATCCCGTTTATAAAATGTGTCTTCTAAATGTAAAATTTTTCTTAATTAGCTGACTTTCCGTTTATCCGTACAAACAGAGTAACATGAGCAATGTCTGACCAGTTTTGTTTTGCTCATACCCATGTTCCTGTTGTTTTTTACTGGTTCACAAGCAATAGCCCAAATTTATTCCATTTTCTGAAACCCGGACTGTTAATTTTAAGGTCATATTTCTGAGAGCTTTATATTGTTGATCTATTGTCTTAATTTCATTAATTCAATAAGTTTCATCCTATGAAATCGGTGTGCGGAGCTTTAAATGCTTTTTAGTGCTGGATTTCCTATCTATCAGGTGAAGTAGACCTCATGTCAATGCCAACTTGCCTTGTTTGTGAGTCACCCCAATTAATATAATGTAGTGAAACAAGATCTTGCAAACATGAGAGTAGTGCTACTACTCCCATGATACAGGGGTCCAAATTAGGCAATTATGTTGACAACAGACTGATGGGGTTTGTGTAATTCCTGTGGACTTATGTTCCTAAAACCATGTCAAAGTGGATGATACTACACTATTTGATCTCAACCTTATTGTTATATGGTGTGTGACATGAAATAATCCCAGTTCATTTTATATGAAACACTGTGAATGTAGGAGTAGTAGAATTTATCTGATTAATATAGTTAAGTGAGCTTTCAATTTATGTTCAAAATTAGTTCAACTGTGGTGTAAGACTCGTAATGTTCAAAAAGTGTTGATGTGCAAAGGACTTTCTATGTACAAATAAGCCACTGGCCACAGATCAATTGTGCATTGCTCAACCCGTATTTCTTATTTTTGTACCAAACATGTTAGTCAAAAAAATCTTTGACTAACAGAATCCCTTAATTGTTGCCTTGCAAATGACTGGTTATTGCTGAATAAAACTATTACCTGGCCTCTCAGGAGGATATCAATTTGAGCCATTCTTCAATTGGCTGTTCAGCTCAGCTCTATTCCTACAAAGTTTGAAATCAGATCTCTTGCTTCAAACTTGAGATCATTGAGTGTATTATTTTTTTTACATATTACAATGAACTGATTTTCCTGCCAGATAAAATGATAAATAATGCAGTTATGCAGGATTACCAGACATAATCTTTCCTTTGCGGTAATTGATTTCATAAAAAAAAAGAATGAAGTAGCTTTATATATTTTCTACTATGTCTCTCAAGCTGGATAAAAAGCCTAAAGCACAAACCAAATTTATGACGCCAGAAATATTAAAAAAAACTTTGTGGGACATTATTGACAGTGCCTTTACCAATTTTTAATTGTAGAATTACCCTTATGTAACTGAAACTGACTGTGTTAAATTTCCTAACATGATTGAACTTTTGAAAATTTTCTCGTTTTATGATTTTATCTTACTATCTGCATTTGAAACATAGAGCTCTGTATTTATGTAAGTTTTTATTCCTTCTCAGATCAGATTACAAAACATATACTTAGAGTTCATGCAAAACTGTATTTATTTTCAACTATGAATTTGTGATGGTGCAAGCTATTCCATAATTGTTAGGTATTTTGGTCTTCCTATAGAACGTTGTATGCCCATCACAACAGTCACATACATTGCTTATGTGCTTCTATTATGAGTATGTATTAACAATTGTGTTTGGTTTATTCAAAAGTTTCACCTTATTCTAAAATTATCCATGCACAACACATTCTTTTTCATCAACATACCAAGACTTTGGATGGTGGCTCATTTGTTGAAATCTTGTCAACTCTTTTGTCATGTTAGTAGTTCATGATTGTACTCTACAATTTGTTAAATCTTATACATCTCTCATTATTGAACATAAACTATTTCTGGATATTACTATTTATACCTAAACCTAAAATGATAATCTTGCAATGTAAAATAGATATTGTGATAGATCTTTCTTTTGTTTTGTGCTGGCACATAGGCTGATTTGCTTTAATTGCCTGCCATTCCGATAGATGTTGACATGCGTCAAAAAGCAAGAGGTCAGTTACTTACTGGGTAAGAGACAAGGTGAGAGAACTGCATCTTCTGACAAAGTCTCAAAATCCCGTATTTTTGGCTCAACTTCGACCACTTGTTTTTGTTCCAATGTCGATGTTTGTGTAAATAGCTTTAGATTAGTAATTTGAAAAGCTGTGTGGTAAATATAAATATATATATATACATATATTTTTTGTTTGTATATGAAATGTATGAAAGATGGCACTACCTTTGCTGTGCTCGCCCACAGACCCATGACTGAAAGCCATAACAAATTCAAATATGAATGAATAAACAGTTCAAAATAATAGTTGTTTCCTTTCTCCTGCGTCTTTTATAACTTCTCACAGTGCATCGCATATCTCCTTAAAAGGAAGGCAAAAGAATAGAAGGCAAATGAGCCTAGTCCTGTAAATACTACTTACAACCATGAGGGTAATGCACCTATCACCTCCATGTTACTACTAAATGGCGCACCAATACGTTTTCGCTCTTTAAAACGCTGAGTCCCAAGGGACGGGGGGATGGAGGGGGGTGGGGAGTGGGGTGCAATCACAGCTGTGACCATACTTGTGGTCACGTGGGACTCAACGTGTTACTGCCGCTCTAGGAATACTCCATTCCAGTGCAGAAACTAGTGCGCCACAGGGTGGGGGTACATCTCTGCAGTTAGGGTCTCTGTCGAGCAGGGTATGTCTGTTCCGAGTTCGTTGAGTGTTTGGGAAACGTGATGCACAGACATGAGCACTAGGTGACGCTGTGGCAGAGCTTAGCGCGGAACGCGGAACGCGGAACACACGTAAGTACAATTTCCCCTATGCCCTTTGCTTCGTCGGATTGTCTCCGGCCTGCAATTGCGTGTGAGGCGTGAGGGTGTCAAACAAGCGTGGATACATAGACAGGAATGGTGGCCCCCCAGTGAGCAATGAAATGTCAGACTTATGTCAGAACGATCATGTACATCATTATCATAATTACCAACGTAATGATGCTGTCTAAATAAAACCGTGTCAGTGTAGGAGATAGAGGACACAACCTCCTCAGGTAGCAAAACCGCGAAAAATGCATTGAAACGGGATTTTATATCTCGTCTAAAAAAGCGCATTGTAGGCGTGCCTACGCGCATGTTTAATGCAGTTCTGCTACCTGGGACCGAATTGGGACAGATCTCGAGAAAGTCTTTTCTGGGTAAAACAGCAAAGAACACAGATCAGGAAGTAACGGGGAATAACTGAGTGAAGGGTGGTCGCCCTCACTCCGAAAATGGTAGAGAGAGGGGAAGGGGAGGGGGGTCCGGCCGAGGCCACGACCGTAACAAAGCCTGATGACACTTTACGGATTAGCAGATTTCGAAGAACAATATTCACAGTTTCAAAGGCTCCACCCCAGACCTCAGGTCCGCGGGCTACGGCGACGGCGACCGGTGGCCGGTCACTACCCTCGGGGCCCCTCTGCAGGTGCGCTTAGGTCGTGGGAGGGCATCTGTTGATGCTGAGGCCGGGCAGGGAGGGCCAATGACCCCCAACACAGGGCGGTGGTTGCTCCGGGACATTGGTGCACGACGAACTTGAGACGGAAGGCACGGCCACATTGCACCTGCGGTGCACGGGCGGGGGAGGGGGGCGGGGGTTGTCAGGATTGGGTTCCTCCGCTGCTGCGCAAGAACAGCTCCACCCTTCACCCGCCGCTCGAGGGCGAGGGCGTGCATGCCAGATGCCCTCGCGAGCTTCGCGAGCTAGACCCCTTCTTCGAAAGGTGAGAGGACGGTGGGGGTGGAGTTCAGGCGCGGTTTTAGGTCCGGCTGACAGGGGCCCGATGTGCTGTAGGTTGTTTGTATGCAAGGGTTTTGTGAGCCAGATTGCCTACCTCCCATGACATTGCGACGACTACCCCTGTTGCCCCCCCCCCCCCAAACCGAGCATGGTGGAGTTGGGCACAGGGCTCTAGGACACAGTCCTGGAAGGCCTAGGCCTCTCTGACCAGCTCGGAGAGGACCGAGGACCTCGCGGGAGAGGGGTGGCGGTGGGGCTGCAGCGCAGCAGCTGAAGAACTCGCGGCGGCTCGCTATCTGCTCCTGCCCCCCCCCCCCCCCCCCC